CCATCTAAAACAATTCAAGTGTAAGGCCCAAATCTTATTAATGGACTTCCCTGGGCCATGCTGGGAATATATTAAATGTCCAATTTATTAATAATTCTACACTAGTAACCAGTGCTCTAAAAGTCGCTAGGCACTCGACCAGCGCCTAGCGCCTAGAGCGCATAAGCGCCTAGAGCGCCTAGGCGGGGCCTAGTCGGGGCCTAGAAATAAATATTAAATATCTTATTTTTTATTTATTTAACTACTAACAAAATAAAAATATCTCAACTTATAATAAATCGACACATCTAAGTCCAAATAATAATATTAATATATTTTAAAAAAAACATGAGAACAAAATAATGTAATTAGTATTTAAAAAATAAAAAAAAAAACTGAAAAATTGCCGCCGAGCCTGCCTAGGAGCGCCTAGGTCTGCCTACGCCCAACTAGGCGCCGCCTAGCCGCCTGGCCGATTTTTTTGGTCGATTTGTGCAAATCGGAGGCGCCCGGGCACCGCCTAGCGCCTAGGCGCCGCCTAGACGGCCGCCTAGGCCGACTTTTAGAACAGTGCTAGAAACACACGAATTTATTTTTATTTTTTTTAAAAAAAAATGCTAATTTGACAAAACTTCTCACAACATAAAATAATGTTATCATAGTAAGGTTGATGTTAAGATTACAAAGTCTTATATTCTAAATTATGTTCCATGTTTAATTCTGTTGGACGAATGACATGTATATATGAATTATGATGATAGTATAATCATACATGTGTAGTTCGTATAATTGAATAAATAGGAATCGAAATATAATTAAAACCGCTACAATTTTTCAAAAAATATATATGCACTTCAAATTGAAATATCACTCTTAAATAAAATGAAAAAAAAAAAAAATTGTATTTAACATTATGTATATAATTGTACTAAAAAAGTATATAACTTGTCAAGAAAATATGTAATATAAAAATATTGGGACATAAATGTGATGTGAAGATTCATGTCACTTATTATATAATTGAATCCGTGTTATTTATTAAACTGAAAATGTTCATATGATTTTTCTTTTAATTGATATTGTTGACCAAGTCATAGTTGAGTGAAGTGAAAGTTACGGCAATCATTTTTTTTTATTTTTTTTTTATTTTTGGTTTGTTTCTCTCTTTTTAGCTTCTTCATAAGAAAAACGTCAATGCTGTAACTTTCAGTTCAGAAAAAAATAAGAAAAAAATGGACAAAAGGAGAAAAATAAAATAAAATAAAATTAAAAAAAGAGAGAGAGAGAGATAGAGAGAGAGAGAGAGAGAGAGAGAGAGAGAGAGAGAGAAGAGTGAGACTACGAACAAAAATCTAATTGTGTGAACATACCAATTTTGGATTTTGATGATAAGTCACACTGTCACACTCGTAAATATTATTTGAGTGTTTACTATAATATAATGGAAAAACATATGATATTTGTTAATTGTTGAAATTAAAGAGTCGTGCTTGACCCAAATTCTGGGGAATGCTATAGTCCTGTTACGAAACTATTCCGCCGAGATTTGTAACTATTAAATCATTATGTAACTGTTTGAATAGTTGATCTAACGGTTACAAACCTTTAACGGAATGATTCCGTAACGAAATCGTAGAACATTTCCCAAATTCTAACAAAGAGAAAGAGATAGAGAGTCTCTTTTTCATTTTCTTTATATATAAAAAAAAATTAGAATTTCTTTGGTGATTAATAAAATTAACTTGTCGATATAAATAAAGGGAGATGCTAAGGTTCATCACGTAATCATTCTGTCGGGTTTATAACCGTTGATCAACTATCTCCGATAGTTATATGATGATTTAACGGTTACAAACTCCAACAGAATGATTTCGTAATGAGACCATAAGACGTATGTGTACATAAAAAAAAAAAAGTTGTGTCCAGTTTTATTTTTCTCTTTTAATAACTGATCACAAATACTATAATTTAATCCTAGATATCATATCACTTGTGTTAGTTGAACGTTAAACTTTTATTGATGAATGGAATTATTAACTAAACGAGCTGAATTCGAAATGTAACGAATTGAGTTATAAAAATTTACTATTTTCGAGCCTTAACAAGCTGAAAATTCGAGTTGATTGCATCCAACAAATCAAATCAAACTGTTCAATTCAAATTTTAACTGAGTCAAGGTGTGAACTCGTATAATCATGTCCACCCATTCAGGATAAATAAAAAAAAAAAAATATATATTTTTGGTGTAACACAAATTAATTGACTATTTCAACGGTTAAACCTACCGAACCTTCATAGAAGATGGCCGCGCCACGACAAAAGAAAGAAGAACACCTCATTTATGTCTTCCGCGTTGAATCAATTACGTTGACTTTGAACTTCAATCCATTTTTTTCCACGAGCTGCTTTTGTTTCAAAATGATCAAATATATACAAAAAAAATAAATAAATCTTTCAAGTTCCCATCTAGGAATATAAACGAGCCGAGCTCGACTCGTTAAAACAATATAATCGCTCGAGTTCGATTCGAAAATTTTTAAGTGGAAAAAATAAAATTATCATTAAACACCTATATTATACTATGGTAATATATAGAAGAGGCTCGACAAGTCGCTCAACAATTTAAATATAGGTTCGAACT